TTTTTTTTTTTTTTTTTAGAAAAAGAAGAGTTTATTTCTTCTAGAGAGAGAGGAAGGGATAGGGAGAGGAAACACAGATGTGAGAGTGCAACATTGATTGGCTGCCTCCTACACACCCTCTACCAGGGATTGAGCCTGAAACCCTGGCATGTGCCCTTGAATGGGAATGGAACCGGCAACCTCCTGCTGCATGGGAGGACATCTAACTGAGCCACACCGGCCAGGGCTGGAAACCTTCATTTTTAAAGCCAATGATACCTTTTAAAAAATGTGACAGTTTGGGTTGGAAAATTATTTTTCCAGTTACTGCCTAACAATTCAGAAAAAATTATAAACTAGCATTAAGCATAAAGGAATTGTCTCTTAATACTGAAAGACCTGGTTCCTGGCCAGTCATCAGTGTGCCATGTTCTAAAAGGCAGTAATGGATCTGTTTCCTAACTAGTGCCATCTGATGTGGGAGTTTCCCATAAAGAGGCTCCTATACTAGAAGACTTCTCAGAACCTCAGTACACAACAGCACATTGTGAATGGGCCATTATTAGGTACCTTAGACATCTACTCCATTTTACTGATCCAGTGTTCCCTACACACCCTTTCGCAGTGATGTCTGTTTTTCTCAAAGCATCACCTGGATAATAAAGGCTGGAATACTGGGGGATACAGAAAGTCTAAAAGGCCCATAGTGGAAATGATCCTGGAACCTCGACTTCATTAATACCAAACACTAATCAAATGAGTTCACCAATACTTAAAAAACAAACAAACCCCAAAACACTATTATGTCCGTGTAGGATTCTGTATCACTTTTCAGAAGGTGTTACGTGTTTCACAGAAAGTACTATCTTAAAAATATTTGTTAATAATGGCTACAGTAGATATAAGCAAGATTATTAATATGAACATGAATTTCTTTCCTTGGCTTGCATTTTGATTCTTGTGCTGACTCTGACCAGCAATACCTTTGAAACAAGATTTAAAGTACACATTCCACAATGTCAAGATAAGATTTCAAGAAAAAAAGAGGAAAAAAACAAAACAAACAATAAGATTTCAACCTGGAACCCTTGATGAATTAAGCATTTCCCTTCTTCCTTTCCTGTTTCATTTTCTTACATTAGTTGTGAGCATTTTTAACTTTATATCTCACCTCCCTCTGCCAAATAAATTCCAATGAAAGTGGGGACCTTTTTTTAAAAAAAAATTCTCCCATTTCACCTTTGACTCTTAAAGTGTCTTAATCTCGCAGAATCAATTTAAGCAGTAGTAAAATAGAAGTGGTTTCTAAAGTTTATTCTACCTTCAATTCTGTTTCTGTGATTTATGACAGATGAATTAAACTAAAAGCAAATTTATCCCCTAGCACCATCTAGTGGAAAAGAGTAATAAGAACTGAATTATAACTCATACACATTACATACCCTGGAAAGCAATGCTTTTCTGAATTATCATAATTACGTGTTGTTGTTTTTTGTTTTTTTTTTAAACATTCACTTATTGAATGTACTAGGCATTATACTAGGTATTATATACTAGGCACTGTTAATTGCTTCATATATATTTAATTTAAATTTCACTGAAAAATAGGTATTTAATACCTACTTTGTAGAAAACAAATTCAGAACAGTTAAGACTTTCCTAATGTTAGTTAATAAGCAGTACCACAATTATAAGCCAAGTTTTTAAGATTCTCTGGTACTGTTTCCTACTCTATAAGGAAATATCCTTTAAATTACCCATATGTATAAAGCTATCAAATTATTTCAAGTAGAATGTATACACTGACAATTATAATTCAGAGCTTCAAGGTGCAGATCTTTAGTTGCAAGCACGTCTTTTTGAGAGAAACCTCTCAGGACTCCTGGCAGTTGGGCTTAGGGGAAAGAATGCTGAAAGCCTTTGGAGGAACTGTGGTACATAGTCACAGGTTCAAAGCTGGGAAAATTATCTTGAGATGTCAAATAGGAAAAGTAACATTTTGGCTCTAACAGGAGTTGATTGTAATTTTTGTACTGTTTCCCCTTTATCAGGGCTGGGTGCTCCAAGACAAGCTCTTTGTCCAGTTCAGAGGAATTCATTTGGTCAAGGCCAAAGCAGGATGTTGAATTACTCTTGATGCCTGGCTCATTCTTAACCAGCGGTCATGTTCGATAAAGACCGCATTACAGAAATGAGAGAACTGTCCGCTCCATGTAAGGACGTAAGGACAGTTGGAATTCAGAGGCACAGTCCCAGCTGGCTGTCAGGGAGTGTTGGAAGTAGTTCCTCTTTCAGTTGGTGACATCCCAGAGGAACCTGGGGTAGGCGACACAGCTTCTCAATAGTGCTGACATGCTCAGATGGGCAAAACGGTTGAGCTGAAAAACTAACCAGTTGCCTTAGTTTGAAATACATGACTGTATGTAATGACTGTCTGATTCCACACTACTAATAAGCTTTTAAATTTCTTGAAATAACTATTTTAAACTGCATTTGCTGCCTTCTCTCACACTCCCCTGCTTCTCTATCCTTTTTACTCTCTGCACTCTCTGTCATGACGTCTGAAAACATGTATCCAAGCTCATCAGTGCCCAATATAAAGTACTAGTAAATAGACTCTTGGTGAGGACAGACAGGCAGCTGTGGTTTAGTGGATGACTTTAAGCTAACCGCACTCAAGGAGCTGAGTTTTCTGTTTCTGCCCCCACCCCCAAATTCTTGAATTCTTAGCTATTTGCTAAAGATCAAACTTGCCCCAAAGTATTAGACTTATGAAAATTAGTGGACTCTATAGTCTTTTTTAAGAATTCTAAAAATCAAGTTGTCCCTTGTGTCTAAATCAAATTATTAAGGAAAACAAATAGGAAACTTAAAACCTGAGTTCTTTTTAAACCATACAGAGAAAAAATGACTTAAGGAAATTGAAGGAAAGGGAGTTTGAAAGAATGGCTTTAATAAATTAGTGAATAATAAGCTTTATAAACATTAGCTTTTTTATACAACGAAATCATGTAATTCTGGGATTTTGCTAGTGTCCAGTATATCAGACTTTAGCAAAACCTGGGAGGGTAAAAGCAGAAGCTTCAGAGAGTGCAACTCCAAGGGGCTACACCTTGTTGGCTCTGATTCAACACCCAGTTAAAAGCCATTCACACAATGCACACGGAACCTGGATTTCTCGATTTAATAATTCCGCAGTACCGTCTGTTTGGCTTTTCGTAGCTCTATTTTGAGACTGTTACATTCTTTCTTCATCAGTTCTAGTTCTTGTTCCAAGCCATGGATCTTCAGGTCACAGTTCAACTTTTCCACCTCCCAGCCTGATGAAGGTGGATTTAAATTCCTTATCACTAGAAAAGAGACGGGCATTACAATTTTTATTTCTGCCTTCTACATTACTTGCAGTTCTAAAAAGGTTATGCTAATAAAATGCAGATAACAGAAAAACTAATATAAAATATGCAAAATTATTAATAGTTTTTAAAAAATGGTAATTACTTTAAAAAAACCTATGCTAATTAGAATAAGAAATAAGCAGTCTTATTTTAGAATGTATTGTTCACCCCATCCCTGATTTTCTGTTTAGGTTAAAGTACAAATTTGTCAGTGCAGAACTTCAAAATAACATAACACTAGTCAAGCATATGCTAAAATTATACACAGATTAACAATCTTTATATAAGATTGACAGTGACAAAATTTAAATAAAGTGAGTAAACTGAGGCTCACTCAGCTAATCACTCCATCTAGTCCTTTCAGAATACAAAGCTTGACACTTAAGCCTAGAACATTATGTCAAAACAATTTTATTCATAAACCTTCCACTGCAGATCCTCGATACAACTGAATACTGAATTATCCTTCCTTAGGCTACCAAGAAAAAGTCCCAATCAACTACCATAAGAGATCTCATCTCAATCTCCCATCCAAAGTTCTCTCAGAGACCTACTTTTCAGCTTGTTTCATCAGAATGTTCATGCGAATACGCTAATACTCATATCCCACAGACCTAACTTTTCACCCCAGCAACTTATCATTCATCTGTACATTTTAATAACCTTCAGAAATTAAAAAAAAGGTAATTGTAACTAGTCCATGACAGTGTGTCTAACAGTGGGCAAAAGGTCAGTGGGAAGGAAAAGCCAGGACATACCAGTGGGCAAGAGGCTCTGACAAGGATGGGGTTCTACTCCTTTCTTCGTCTACTTCATCATAAACTAACCCTGAATAAAACCCTTTTTCCCCCCAGGAGAAGTGGAATTTATATCTAAGTAAAAGTTAAAAGGAGTTGATACTCTGTGAAAGCGGAACAAAGAAATTAATATAAGCCTAAAAATTAAAAAATAAGTTAAAGCTGTGGCATACAGATAAAGAAAACCGATCATGGATATAACACACGAATGGAAAAATGTATTAATTCTGTTAGAATATTTGTAACAAGTAAGTGGCCTACCCTGCTGAGTTTCCACCTCTGTCCTTAGCTGGAGGAGTTCTACTTCTTTAGACTGCAGTTGTTCATTCAATACTTTCAAAGATTCAGAGTTGTCTTTGTTCTAGTTAAGTAGGGAAAATGCCAAATTACATTCAATAAAGTCTGTAGGTTGGTATTATGTATTAATTTTCAGGTAGATGTTGAAAAACTGCTTCTAGCCTTTTAAAAGCAAGATGAGGAAATGAACTCAGTTCTTCACTAATCTCTTTTTTCCTTTTTCTAACTTGGGACATATTATTCACTGGCTTTTTTTAAAACACTGACAAATTATACCATGTCCTGATTTTTCAAAATAAGTTAGTGGTGTTAGATGTATTTAAGTCCTAAACATCATTATATACTAAGTATTTATTTTGCATAGAAATAAGTTGCAAACATTACTATTAAAACTTTCTATTTATGTCTTGAGCACGTATATTTTTAATTTTTAATTTAATAAATATAACTATTTCTCACTTTAAACTCTTGATTGAGAAAACTCATTTGCAATACACAGATACCATTCTTTTCAAACCAACTTACCATTTTATCCAGTTTGCTCTTTAAATTGTCTCTATCAATGCAAACCTCTCGGTATGCGTGATAGGCCTTATTTACTTGTTCCCGTCCCACAGAACTTGTTTCTTCATCTAACAGAGCTCCTGTAAGCTAATGATGTACCATTAGAAGAGGAGGCTTGAAGAGGGTACACTCTACACAGAATAATTGTCTTCTGATGGCTCTGCATCTATGTTAATCACTGTAATGCAGGGATCAAGCCTGGACTAGAATTAACTGAACATTTCACTTCCACACAATTAAGCTTTACTGATTAAGAAAGCAAAAGAGTACAGAATATTTTTTAACAGTATTCTATTTTATGCTTTTACTTACTCATTATTTTGTACTTTGCAGTATCTATTTTGTAACATTTATTTATCATGCTGGAACACAGTACATCGTTCTTTTATAGTCCTTAGGTGTTTTCCAAATCGTAGTACTTAATTTCCATTATCACTAAAGAAATCAGGTTAAGGTATACTTGACTTTTTAAGGAATAGATGGGTTAGTTCATTAAATCCTATATTATTCCAGAATAGGAATTAATATGATTGTTGGTCACAAAGTACAGAAATTTTTCCAATGTTAACTATACCAAATCACAATATTCTTCTGAACTTTAAAATACATACAGCTATAAGCTCCAAAATGTTACCTTTTCTCACTTTATCCCAGTATGTCACAAATTTATTTAATTGCCATTACAGGACATTCATACGAACACAAAGAAATGATTATTTTTACAACTGACCCCCTCTTCTTCTATTCCCCCAAATGAAACTCTAACAAGCTCCACCCTTGAGTTTTCACAAGAAGGTAATTCGTTTCCTTAGCTAAGGAATCCATTTCCTTCCCCATTTGCTGAAGCTGCTGTTTGTAAAATATGACTATACTGATCTGAAGAAAACAAAGTTAAAACTTTAACACTCAAAAATAAATGGATGAGTGAGGAAGATTTCCCAATACACAAAGCCATGTATACCTGGTGATTTATAACTAAATCAACTACCTTGCTTGTATATTCTACAACATTTTAAGACTGTCAGGTTTCTTCATGAAAAAGGTAAATAAAAGAAATTTATCACTTTAAAAAGCATTATTCTTGTTATATGTGTTCAAAAGCAAAAGAGAATGTTGAGATAAAGAAGATATAAGTCCTGGCGAAGACATTATTAAATGTATTAGAACAGTGTTCCAGGAGCTTCCACCTTTGACCACTCCCTTTACTGGCTATAATTTTTGTACAGATTTTAAAATTCTGAATAAAAAAACATACAGTTATGAAGCTAAGGCAATCTGGGAAAAAAGGTAAGGAAAATATCTGGCATATATACCCTCCAAATTGCTAATCCTATTCTACAAATATTCCCCCAGCACATGTATGTGAAACGGCTTGACAGGTACAATGTCTAGAGGCGAGCAGTGAGTTATCCTTGGAAATTCAGTACAACCGTGGAAGATGGACAGAAAAATATTTAACATTTTACATATTTTGAATTATTTTTTAAGCCATAAAACACAATGAAGGTAATAAGTAATTACCTTTTCTTCCAAAAATCTCACTCTCTTCTTGAGGAAAGAGTTCTCTTTCTCTGAATCCTTGAGCCGTGTTTTGATGTCTTCATACGCGGTAACAAGGGCAAAATGGGAAGCAACAGACTCATCTGAATATATTGAGACTGGAGTCCCTGTGTCTCTCCTATGGGCTTTCTCGTGATTTAGAATGCAGATATCATCTTCTACCAGTGTATCCATGACAGCTATTTAAAAGAAAATATAAAATACAAATGTCTCACTGAATGAACAGGGAAAAGAAGTGTGTTTAGAATAATGTGAATTCTGAGGCAATGTTTAAAAATTCCTGTTTCTTTCAGAGGCAGTATAGTATATGGTTAAGAAAATGGACTCCAAAACCAGACTGCCAGGGTTTGAATCCAAGCTCTACTACTTAGTGTCTGTGTCACTTTGTGCAAATTGCTTAACCTCTCTGCCTCAGTTTCCTTATTTACAAAGTAAAAGAAATAATAGCAACTTCTTCATAGAGTTTTTAAGGACATTAAATGAGTTGATACCTATAAAGCATATAAAATCATCTCAGCTGTTAGTATTGTAAAAAATTGTGAAACACCATTTTCAAAGAATAAAAAATTTTAAACTCTTTATACCCATATATTTCTTCCTCATCAACATTTCCACTCTTAGATAAGTAGCAAGTTTTACAGCTTCCCAAATTATAAATTTTCAATAACTTTTAGTATAATTCATTACCATATTATTACAGATGTTTTAATGCATAGTCTACTATATTCTTTTCATACCAGTTACTGGTTATATTCGTTATACATTCAAAATAGAAGACAAAGGAATTAACATGAGTGTCCACTATATCCCAGTACCATGTACTACATTTTTTTAATATTATCTTATTTATCCCTACAATTCTACAAAGTAGAAATCATCTACAGTTGGTTGGGATTTGAAGGGTAAAGCAATCTGCCCAAAATTAAAGCTAGTAGAACATTAGCTCTGTGAGGGCAGAGGCTATGTCTGGGTTTTGCTCATCATCGTGTCCCCAACTCATCACTATGTGAAGACAGATGCTCAGTATTGACTGATTATTGAAGAGTGGAGCGAGTATGATTCAAATCAAACTCTGAGCCTAAAGCCTGAGAAGACAGTTACTTCACTGGTTAGTGAACAACACACTTGCTCTGTACATCTACTTTTGTTGTTAGGTTCAGCATTACTTCCCCATCTGAGTTACGTTCCTGAAAAACTCGATGGAAGGAGAAATAGTGGCTGAAACCTTTTAAAACCTCATGGGAAAGACAAGGTAACAGGGACTACAGGCCATAAGAGAACCTAAAACATTCTTTAAGACACCAAACATGGCATTCTAAATGAAGACTATCAATGGTATTTCATAGATTAGTAATTGAGTCCTGAAAAATGTTATGTACCAGCCCTTGCTTGAGATAACATCTGATTGCTTTCTAGTGTCAGTCACTGTTGTAAAAGCATTATAGGTGAGGAAACTGATGTAGAAGGAATTTAAGTAATTTTCTATAGTGACACAGTAAATGGAGAGTTGAGATGTAAACACAGGTGCATAATCTGTTTCACTAGGCCTGCTTTTCTCCAAAACTTCTGATTTTCCTCCCTCTATCAATCAATGCCTGTAAAGTTTGTTTTACTTTATTTCAGAACATAAATACTAAGGAAAGATTTTGCTTATGTGTTTTTTGGGGGTCTGGTCTTCTATCACTGTATATTCTGGTTTTCTGATTTTATAACTAAAACCTTCCAACTAAAGTAAGACTTCAGAGTGCCTAGCAATTTGTTTCCTAAATGGATTATGGGAAAGGCAGGCAAAAGTAAACCTGTATACTACAAGTCTGAGTAGGTGAAATCTGCTACTCAATCAGTCTTCACTCTTAAGCTAGAATCTTTCCTAGTTTATCAACGAAGTCCAAAAACAAGAAAGGATTAGGCTACCTATAATACCCCACAAAAGTGGCAGATCCTCATAACCATTAAGTTTTCCTCTGGGGTCAACGCTGTTCCAAAATAACAGCCAACATCATTCCAATCATGTTGCTGCTAGCTGAAATCCTCTTATTTCCTTTCCAAAAGGAGAGTATGGGTTACTCCCATATAGCAAACTGCAAGCATGTATCTCAATATAAGACTCTTGCACACACACATAGTATCTTAAGAGCAGACTAAGTAAAATAAGAGTAGACGGCTAGTCAAGTGTAGGATGTAGTCTAGTTTAAAGAGAGGTAAATTGTGCCCATCTTAGACATCTGATATAGAACATCTTAATATCTAACAAAGTGGGCAGGATTTATTCAACTGGAATACTTTTTTTTTCTAAAGACAGCTGAGAAACAAGAAATAAGTATAAACTGCTCTACACTGTCAAAGACGTCGTAGTTTGTATACTTTAAGGTAAGTAATAATTGAAAGAATACAGAATGGTCTGGGGATTGAGGGATGGAGAAGAAGAGCAGTTTTTTAAAAAGGTACCACAAAAGCTCAAATGACATTTAACTATTTTTTAAAAATACTTAAAAAATTTTTTTTTTAATTACTTTGAGAGAGAAAAACATCGATTGGCTCCCTTCTGCATACACCCCCCCCCCCCCCCCC